CTGAGATATAACTGAAGAAAATATACAGGGTGGAGAAAAAGCAAGTTTACAGTTATTCATGCAGAAAATAGTATAATATTAATAATGACACAAGAATAAACTCTGTGTTTCACACACTCATAACCATAAACCTACTTTTTCCCCACCCTGGGCATTTAAGTTATACAAAGTGATGTTTTCATATACATAATACATAACAAAATAATCACCACAATCATATTAATTAGCATATCTATCACCTCATATAATTACCATTTTCTTCTTTGTATGTGCTACAAGAACACATCATCTCCTCCCCTTTTAGCAAATTTTAAGCATACAATATGGTATTATTAACTATAGTCATCATGCTGTACATTAGATATCCAGAACTTATTCATCTTGCATCTATTGACCATCATCTCCCCATTTTCCTCTCCCCTCAGTCCCTGGCAGTCACCAATCTACTCTCTGCTTCAGTAAGTTTCAGTAATTTAGATTCCATATGCAAGTGAGATCATATAGTGTTTTCTTTGTTTGGCTTATTTTACTTGGCATAATGTCCTCCAGGTTATGAATGAAGTCCTTCATGTGTTGCAAATGTATTAACCAAAAATTTTATTGTTACCAATCTAAAAAGTGGAATATGATTCTCACTTTGGCCCTCATTATTGATGTAATGAGTACAAAGCTGCACTGACACTATAGATCAATTTGAGAAGACTTGGCATCTTCAAGATATTTGACTTTTTCTATATACAATGACACACTTTTTGTTTGTATAGGTCTTCTTTTTTAATATTTTATTTTATTTTTTATTTTTTTAAGATTTCATTTGTTTATTTTTAGAGAGGGGAAGGGAGGGAGAAAGAGACGAAGAGAAACATCTGTGTGTGGTTGCCTGTTACCAGCTCCCTACTAGGGATCTGGACTGTGACTTAGGCATGTGCCCTAGACTGAGAATTGAACCAGTTACCCTTTGGTTTGCAGGTTGGCACTCAATCTACTGGGCCACACCAGGCAGGACTATTTAGGTCTTCTTAATGCTGTTAACTAAAGTTTTCTCTATATGAGTCTTGAGTAAGTTTTGTTAGGTCTATTCTATTATACCCTACTCTATTTATTCTATTCTCTATTATATTCCATACATATGTGTGTATACACACACATACATATTGTTGTTGGTGGTAATTTTTTAAAAATATGTTTTGTGTTTGTTACTAGTATATAAAAATCCAATTAATTTTTTAAAAATTTTGAGCTAGTATACAGCCATATTATTATTATTTTTAACAAACAGTCTTTGAGTCTTAGAGGCTTTCTAGATAGATAAACAAATCATCTGAGAACCTAGTTTCTTCTTTTTTTTAAATTATTTTATTGTTGTTCAATTACAGTTCTCTGCATTTCCCGCCCCCCCCCACTGACCCTTGCCCCAGCCAAACCCTCTAGTTTTGTCTTTTTTTCCAATTTTAATTCTTTGCATTCCCCCTTTGAAAAATCTGTACTGACTAGACCTCCAGACAATACTGAATAGATACAGTGATGAGAACAGTATCACCTGTCCTTGATTTTAAAGGGATTGCATCTATGTGGCACACCATAATAATGATGTTTGTTGGGTTTTGTGTTAAGTACCTTTTATTAAGTAAAGAAAGTACCTACCAATTCCTAGTTTATTGGATGTTTTATATCATGAAAGTGTAATGGATTTTATCAAGTACTTTTCTGTGTCTATTGAGATAAGTGTATGTTTTTCTATTTTAACTAATAAAAATCATGTTATATCTCCTTTTATTAATATTATTTTTGTCTTCTTTCTTTTTTCTTATTTATTCTGTGAGAAGTTTGTTATCTGATTAGCTTTTTACAAACAAAATTTAAGATGTTGAGTCTTCCTATTGCATCTTTTGTTTCTGGTAATTCTTTTCTGCCCTCACATTTATTATTTCTTTTCATCTGCCTATTTTTTTTTTTTTGGTTTAGTCTTTTCCAGAATTCTGAGATTGTTTTTTTAGCTCATTTCTTTTTCTGTTCTTCTTTTCTAGGTATTTACCTGTATGCATTTCTTTCTAATTATTACTTCACTTAGATTACCCAATATCTGATATAAAACATATTTGTTATCATTCAGTCTAGTTATTTTAATTTTTATTATAATTTTATTGATCTTTGAATTACTTAGAAGTGTTTTTAAAAATTTCCAAACAGATGGAAACAATATATTTTTGTTATTGTCATCTGATTCAGTTGCACTGTAGTAAGAAATGTGTATGTCATCCATTTTTGAAATTGAGAGTTACTTCACAAGCCATATGCAGTAATTTTTTAATCAATATTGCATATAAGCTTCAAAAGAATGGCTATTTTCTAATTTTGGGGGGGGGCAGAGTTCTATTTAAGTTTAATCAATCAATGTGTATTTCAAATCTTCTCTATCTTTATTTTTTTTAAATCCCCTGTAAAGATGGCGGATTTGACATTATTTCCCAACTTGTACCTCAGGCATGTCAGATGTGAATTCATGTGCTCTGTGGCAGGTGCTAAGGAGCTGGGGGATGACACGTTTCCTTGGTGTGACCACGACATTACTGGAGGAGGGACAGCACCCTGCAGAATAGCAGAGCTGTTGGCTAGTTCTTTTCTGATTGGCAGAACAGGTTACCTCTGACCACAGTTAAGCTGAAGTCCATGACCCTCCCACTAGTAGGCTGGAGACTGGGCTGGCTTAGATTGGGTATAAGCTAAGTAAGTAAATTGATTCCTTTGTTCAACAAACACTATTGAGACCATGTATTGTACCACAATGGGCTGGAGCTCTGGCACTGCCCTCCCTGGCTCCCAGTCAGTGGGAGTCATCCATCCCTATGACTGGAGAAACCTCAGGTTTAGAAATAGGAGTTCATTACTGGAGCATGGGGCTGGGTTCCCACTCTGGCTGAGGGGCATCATACCACAATGAGAGGACAAATGAACCATCACACCAGGTGCACTGGCTAGATGTTAGGTCTCATTTCAGATTCTAGCTAATGGGACATGTGGCCCTCTGTATTTCTGCCTTCTCCATTCAGGAAGGCAGCAGATGCTGTAGTTGTCTGGTGTCAGGAGGTTGTGGCAGGGGGAAAGTAGAAGTTTCTGCAGAAACTTTCCATCCTGGTTTATGTGTGAAAGGTTGAGCCCTAAAAGAGGTCTTGAGGGGTATTCTATAACAAGTTAATCACTGGTGTTTGGTTTGACCCGCCACATGGAAAACACTTAGAATTAGTTGCCAACACTTGAAAATCAGTAATTTCACATAAACATGAGACTTCTTTGCACACCTGGAAGCCCTGGGCTGCTTGCAGCTCTCCTCATGCACTTCCTATGGTCCCCAGGCACTACCTGCAGATTAGTGCGTCTGCACTGGCACTTTCTTAAGGTCACCCGGCAGAAAGCAATGTTCTCCTGATTGTCTCCACTGAATAGGATTAAAATGTTAAAAGGGCATATGTTTCAGGAGAATCAAGAGAGAGTATTTTTCCTGGTGCATGTGAAGACTGATCCAAAGTGTTTATTAGGGCACCAAAATAAAGTAACATGAACAGCCTGCTCCACTCATGTCGTCATTCACATGAGACTCAGAAGGACTATAGGCTGTGCTAAAAGGACCCACTGGGTGTCAGTGGCCACCAGGGTAATCTGACTGCCTCTGGCTGGCTGTCCCTGGGTGGTGGTGGTGGTGCCCCTGCGAGGAGGGCACAGCAGAGTATGGGGAGCACAAGCTGCCAGTGGACAGCCTGGGTTCAAAGCCCATCTCTCACACTCCCTGCTGAATAGCCTTGGGGGTGTCTCACCCTTAACTCATAGTGTTATAATGGAGGTCAAAAATGTCATATTTATAATATTTCTAAACATGCCTGGCACACTGGGGAGTGCTCAGGGAGCTGGCTGTGTTAGGAATTTGGCTGAGGGAGCCCAAGAATGAAAAGACTTTAATTTCTACCAGCTCACTTGGATGGGGCTCAACAATTGTCATTAAGTTGATTTACATTTTAAAAAGTGACATTCCTTGCACACTTGAGTTGGTGACTTGACAGTCAAGTAGGTGTCAAAAAAGTACAGAAACATGTAGCCCCAAATATGTGGGTTGAGCCTGTGTTGACAAAGTTACCCCAGGGCTGGATGCTTGGCCTTGGATGGAAAAAGTCATGTCTCTGTCCTCTAACCTCTAATAGAAAGTGAGCATTTTCTTCTGATGTTAGTGCAGCCTAACCACAATGACATTACCACCTGAGTAACTTTATTATTACCAGTAGTAGGTATTGTGAATATTTTCATACACATTATAGCTGTAACACATCTCTTTAAATATGTTTCACATTCATCACGATGTCAGAGTTGTGGTAGTTATTTTGCCTGCCACTAGATTCTTGTTATTTACTGTGTGGATAAAGAAGCACATATATTTCTATATCATTAGTCTGTTTTCTAAATTTTTGATAAGTGCATTTCAAAATAACTGTTTTTTTTATAATCCTTACATACTTTAATTTGGGTATTTAAAAATGTTGCTCTGAGAAAAGAGTCATAGGTGTCCCCAGACACTGAGCGATTCATGGCACAAACATAGTGACTGGGCTGTGCTTTGGACCAGAGAGGGGTGCTTTCTGACTCTGCCCTAGGTTGTGGGGACCACAGCAGGAGCTTGAGATCCAAGCAAGCAGCGTTGCCCCCATCCTCCCTGAACTTACTGGCCTGGGTCTTCAGGCAAGGATCTCCAGCTGTGCTTCTTTTCGGTGCTAAGTGAGAGGATTGCAGGAGACAGTGATGGGTAAAAACTAGCACCCAGTATGTCACAGTGAGTCCTACTTGTAGACCACAACGTTCTGCCACCTGGCAGAGGCTAGGATGAAAAGGCCTTCCTTCAGCCCTGCTGTAAGACAGAGTTGAGAGGAACTAAGAAACATGGGGTTGTGGCAGTGGCTTCCTGCCTTCCCATCACGTGGGGCTTGTATCTGTCCTCAGGAGCCTCAGGTCACACAGCCTGCCAATGCCTGTTCTATGAGGAGCCAGGAGCAAGTCAGCATGGGCTCATCAGCCAGCATGCTGACAGCCCTCCTCTTTCTCCTGGGTAAGTGAGGCATGCGGAATGGGGGTGGACTTTACTCTTTTGTGGCAGGGGTGCCACGATGAGTGGAAAACTAAGTGAGCAGTTGTCCTTTGGAATTCAGTCCCTAAAGCATGATTGTGTCTCTGGGGACAGATGGTTCCTCTCACTTTGACTGGACAGTGAATAATGCTTTTGTCTGTTTCATTCCCACCGTAACTTACACATGGTCTGGGCCAGGAAGAACAGGAAAGGGTCATGTAACAGAGAGAGCTTTGGGCTTGGGACCTAGACACATGTGGCTTTAAACCTGGCTCTTTTGCTGGCAAACTACAGCAAGCTTCTTAGATTCTTTGAGTGGCAGTTTCTGAAGCAATAAAATGAGTGATAATAATATTTATATTTTAGGATAGAGTGAAAATTAAGTTAAATTTAACTAAGTTAAATCAAAATCATTACATAAAATGAGAAAATGTTGGTATGTAGATGTTTCTCTGCAGTTAATGGTGAATCAGTCATAAAGTAAGCCCTACTTAATACAGAGGTGTCTTTGTTTTTTAAGTCCTCTTTAATTCTGTGCATAAAAAGAAGGAACAAGAGAGAAAGAAAGGATTAATGAAAAAGCACAGTCGGATATAGTGGGAGAAATATAAGGTCAGAGAAACAGAGAGGAAGACACCAAGAGAGATAGAGATGGAGGAGACACAGAGTGATGGTTAGAAACATTCTTCAAAAAAAAAAAAAAGAAAACAGAAAAAAATGTATCGATAGAGACAGACAGAGGAGGAAAGAACCATGCAACTTCGCAAAATTATCTCTTACATCAACTGTTATTTCTTGATAAGACAACGGACATCCCTCAGACACACAAAGATGCTCTTTTCCAGAACTTGCACTGGGGCAAGATTCAAAGGCAAGCAGTTGGTCTCTAAATTTAATCTTCTGTCTCTGGAGAAATAGCCTTTATCCTGGACATAGCAAAGTTACTCCCATGGACAGGACTCTGAATCCCGTAACAAGCCCAGCTGAAAACAAAGACAGGCAGACAGACATGGTATGTATATGTTTACATGTGGATATGATCTCTGACAGTGGCAACGAGGGGATGGTGAGAACCAGAGAGCAGGGCAGCTCATGCAAAGTGTGCTCAGTAAAGTGGCAGAAAGTTGCAGAAGTTCTAACCCTTGTTTCTGCTTTTGACCTATTTAGATAATCTGTTCTGGGTGGGGTGGGCAGGAAAGGGAAGTTATATCTAAGAAGCTCAATGGAAAATGTACAGATTATATGAACAAGTACTTTATTGGAGAATTACTAACCAACAGTAGGCCTTTAAAATGCTCAGGATCACAAATAATAGAAGAAATGAAAACACTTAAAATTTGCGAGTGCTTCTGTAGTCTGCTAAACTGCATTCTCTGTCAAATACTTTCCATGGGCTCATTCAGTCCCCACAACACCTCTGTGGAAGAGGTCCCATTCTTACCTGCATTGTATGGATGAGATTTTAAGACTTGGCTAAGGTATTCCAGCTAGTTAGTGCTTTTGGAAACTATTAGTAGAGACAGTATTGGTTAGGATTGAACCTCTGCCCTAAATTCCCTAAATGATAACCCTTGCCCCACTATTATCAGCTCAAAGAATGGGGCTGGTTATTCATCTGCTTTATGTGCAGTTTCCTCCTCTGTAACTTGGGGATAATAATAGTACTCACCTCACAGGGCTGTAAGAGAATTCAATCTCTTCCCATGTTTAAAGCAGACAGCCAGTATCTAACATGAGGTGAGCACACACTACGAGATATGGGGGAAACTATTGATCCAATCTTCCAAGAAAGCAATTTGGCAATATGTATCAAAATATGAACTGTTCACAAGCTTGTACCCAGAAATTCCAACTTTAGGGTTTATCATAATGAAACAATAGGGTAAAAGCTCTTCAAAATATTTAATAGGATGCTATTTAGCACTGCTGACCACAGTGAAAATCAGAAACCAGTGATTATCAGTAGGACTCTAGCTAAATCAACTGTGTTCTAAGGTTTCAAACAATATCCAATATGTTAAATGAAAAACACAACTTTCTCAGAACAAACATGGACAGAAGAGGAGTAACAAAGTGACACTTATTAAGTTATAATTCTGTGGTTATATTTTGCATATGTTTGCTTACCTATCCCAAAATTGACTGGACAAAACTCTACCAAATGGTTAATAGTATCCTTTAGTATTTTTAGAAAATAGGGTTATGAGGTATTTTTTTTAGTTTCTCTGTATTGAAATTTTTCATAGTGATCATATATATTCTCAATTATAATAAATAAATTTCAATGAACAAAATAATAACATGACAGCCTATTGAAAGCACTAAGCAAAAGGGTTTACCCTTTAGGGACTGGTGAAAGGGACCTAGAGGATTGGATTATCTAGTACAACTTATTAATGAACAGCCTGTGAAGGCGGTTGACCAGGCCAGGCCATTCCCTCCAGGGTATATGTGAGAGCTGTGTGTAAGAGGGCTTTTGGGGACATAGCAGGGAGAGGAGCACATCTATCTGTCTGTCACCCCTGTGATGTCCAGGCTCTCATGGGACCCCATACACTGAGTAATTGGAGAGTTTTGAAAAACCAATTTTTGAATATTCTAAAAATATTTTTAAAACTGACATCAGTGTAACATTCACAGAACCAACACCATAATTAACACATTTAAAAATTTGGATGTTTTCAAGATATATGTATTTTAAAGTATGTAGGTGATAAATTGACATATTCATAAAAGAAATGACAGAGAAGGAGCTGAAGCTCTTTGGGCTTCCCTCCTCTGTCTTGTTTTCCTCCCCCCTTTTCCAGAGGAAAGAACACTAGCTTTGGCTGCACTTCCTTCCTGTGTCACTTTCTCAGTGTTAAAGACTTGGCCTGAGCCCTGGCTGGCGTAGCTCAGTGGATTGAGCGTGGGCTGGGAACCAAAGTATCCCAGGTTCGATTCCCAGCCAGGGTACATTCCTGGGTTGCAGGCCAGAACCCCCAGCAGCCGCACATTGATGTTTCTCTCCCTCTCTCTCTTCCTCTTTCTCTCCCTCTCTCTCTCCCTCTCTCTCCCTCTATCTCTCTCTCTCTCTCTCCCCCTCCCTTCCCTCTCTAAAAATAAATAAAAATAAAAATCTTAAAAAAAAAGACTTGGCCTGAATGCCACCATCACACACTCAACATACTGCATTACCCACCTACTCATTCTGATGCTATGAATGAGACATATTCATTTGCAACTGCCTCTAGAGATTCTGTGGAAACACTATCTATAATTTAGTTACCCTTTCTAGTACTATTGGAATTTTTGTTGTTTCTAGCTTTTCACATGACTGCCAGTGAGTGCTGCTGCGATGAACTTTCTAGCTTTTGGCATGATTGCCAGTGCTGCTCCTGGAACTAAGGTGCAGCTGTGTTTCTAGGAGACACACCTGGAAGAGAAGTTGCTGTGTTATGGGAGTGCATGATCTCCTTTTATTGGACATTGCCAAATTGCTTTCCATCAGTGAGGTCTGACATATCTGTCCCCCTGCAGATTCAGTGACACTTGATATTATCAAACATCTCATGTTTTGCCAATTGGAGAATTATAAAATATTATTGCCAAGTTTTTAGGTTATGGGTTCCTGATTACTAATGAGAATAACCATTTTTCCTATATTTATCAGACAGACAGATTTTTTACCTGTAAATTTCATGTTAGTTACATTTGGTTTTGGTCATTTGAACATTTTTTCTGTATATTAATTATTTGTGTCAATGTGTCGCAAATATTTGCAAATATTTTTCTCTCAGTATGTTATCTTTTATCTTTCTGGCATCATTTGCTCTGCAGAAGTCTCTAAATGTGATGCGATCAAATTTATCAGAGAGAGATAGCTTTTTTTTCTGAGCTATTTGAAAGTAAGTTGTATACTACAAGTTTTTTTTAACCCCTAAATACATTAGTGTGCATTTCTCTAGAAATAACCTCTCATATAACCACAGTACTGTTATCAGCTTCAGGAAATCTAACATTGATAAGCTACATTTACATAGTCTATCATTGTCCAATATTTTCAGAGTTGACCTAACAATGCCTTTTGCCCCTTTGACTATACCTTAGTTAACAAAAAAGCCAGAGGAGAATGAGGTACTGCATATGGTAACCATGTCTAATCTGGAACATCTCCACAGCCCTTTTCTTTTATGACATTGATCTTTTAGAAGCTTCCATCCCTTTTCTTTCACAGAATATTTTTCATAAAACATTTGGTGGTTTGCATGATATATTAATGACTGGATTCTAGTTATCCATTCCCCACCAGAAAACTGCATATCTGACCTTGTGTCCTTCTCAGGGTTTCACATTTGGAGCTATAGGATATCTAAGGCTGATGACTTTTGAAATAATACTAATATTAATACTACTACTATTACTACTACTAATAATAATAATAATTCAGCTAGGTTTGGGATTATGGTTGTTATATTTCTAAGTAAATATTTTGCCACTTAATTATTGACCAATCAATAATTTTAAATTTTGCTGAAATATTGCTCTAAAATAATTACTGAAAATATCTGGTAAAGTTTCTAGACATCTTATTAGAGGTTTACACCTTTTTTAAAAAAGAAGCTGACATGTAAAATATTCCTATTTATTTTAATTCCAACCAAAATGTCAGCCATCTGTCTCTGTTTTAATTCCATTGGAAGGCACCCGCTGAAATCTATGTATTACTATAATTATGTTAATAAAAGAAATATGGTATCACTTTAATTACATTCTAGTTGCCTAAAACATTATTTTTTTAAAAGATTTTATTTATTTATTTTTAGAGAGGGAAGGGAGGGAGAAAGAGAGAGAGAGAGAGAGAGAGAGAGAAACATCAATATGCGGTTGCTGGGGGTCATGGCCTGCAACCCAGGAATGTACCCTGACTGGGAATTGAACCTGCGACACTTTAGTTCACAGTCCACGCTCAATCCACTGAGCTATGCCAGCCAGGGCCTGCC